AGAGCAACTTGACATACAGACCATCCCCCAATACAGCCAAGTGCAGACCATCTCAGACACCTGCACTCAGGCCCATGGTCCTAATCATCCTCTATGCAAACCTGCTGGGTAACGCCACAAGGAACCCAAGAAGGGCTCCCACAGGACATACATTAACATCCCACAGCAGCTACCCACTGCACATGTGTTCCAGCCCTCTGAGCACACTGTTCTTCTACCTTTGCCCAATTCATCTTCAGGGGGAGACTTCTACAAGTCCCATCAGATCCTGAAGACCAGCTTCCACCTAGGCCATTTGCAGGAAGATGGTATAGAGAGAAGCTGATGGTGACTCTCAGTTTTACTCTTTGTTCTAAATCTGATTTCCCCCTTTTATTTGGTAAAAGATTTTTTGTTTCAGGCTAGCCTCAATATTTTTTTTAAATGTTTTTCTTCCAATTTGATCCTACCATATTGTTACTATGACATTTATTTTGGATGAGAGTTCTCTCAAAATCCTCTTGAACATAAAAGCTTTTCTATATTAAGGGATCTGTTGTTTGTTCATGGACAATTTAAGGTCTCTAAAGGGACATCAGTTCTAAAATGCGACTGAAAAACAAGCTTTTATGCCTTCATCATGGCCACAAGAGGCATCCCCCCCAAAGGGGAAGAAGACTCAACCCTCACAACCTAAGGCTACTCCTAAAGAGAGCAAAGAGCAGTGTGCTGGCTGTTTTTGTGTTTACTTGTCACAAGTCAGAGTTATCTAAGAAGATATTGAGACAACTCATCAATAAGATTGGGTTTTAGGCAAATCTATGAGGCATTTTCTTAGATAGATTGATATAGGAGAGCCCACCTCATTATGGATGGTGCCACCCTTGGGTAGATGGTCCTGAAGTGTATAACAAAACGGGCTGAGCAAGCTATGAGGAGTGAACTAGTAAGCAACCCTCCTCCATGGCCTCCGCTTCCGTTCCTGCTTCCAGGTTCCTGCCTTGAGTTCCTGCCCTGTCTCCCTTTGATGATAGATTGTGATGTAGAACTGTAAGCTGAAATAAACCCTTTCCTCCCCAAATAACTTTTGGTCATGATTTTAACACAGCAATTGAAACCCTAAACAAGAAATAAATCAAGATGGAAAGCAGAGACTATCATTGCAACAGGAAGTAAGAATGATATTTGTGAAAACTAATCTTAGACTCAAAAAAAAAAACAAACTGATATGATCTGTCCTGAATACATATATTCAAGTAATACTATACGGACCAAGCAGGTTATATTTAGGAATATATATGTCTCTGTGTGTGCATATAACAATAATTAATGAAAAAAGAGGGCATGGCTTTGAAAGAGAAGGAGGAGGAGTATATGGGAGGGTGTGGGGTGAGGAAAGAGGAGGAAATTATGTAATTATATTATAATCTCAAAAATAAAACAAAGAAGAAAAACCTGATGTGCCCATGACACTGGGCAGACAATGCTAAGATGAGACATTCCAACACTAGCAAGGCAGGAAGCAGGAAATCATAAGGACTGTTCTGGCTGGGACCTATCATCTAGACTTATGTGAACACTTCTTGGTAGACACCAGCTGTGAAAGGGAAACCCAGGATACCCACATTTATGTTCCACTGGCTGCAAATTCTTCAGCTCCCTGCCTGACAGTTGACCATTTCTCAGCGAAGGACCCTCAGTCTGTATATCCCAGCATGTGAAAGAATGCACTCTCTCACTGGAATCCAGCCAAGCTCTCGGGGACAAAATGAAACAGGAAGGGTACTACGGCTGTCTTTAGGAGGGAAGAGATCTATAATGAGGGTATCCAGACCAAGTACGCAAAGGACAATATCCTAGTGTCCCCAATAGCCTGAGTCTTAGAAGAAAGAAGGGTTTCCTGCCACACCCCCTTGACTGGACTCAGAGCAAATATCCGGGAATCTGACTGGTAAGATATTTATTTTTGTTGGCATGGTCAGAGATCTTGTGATCTCAGCTGTAGAAGAACAGAGGCTCCCAGATGACCCAGACTTGTCACCAAATCCCAGAGAGAAGAATTTCTTTTCTTCCAAGTTGAGTCTGGTGCTCGGGAGGTCCAATAATTATCTGACAACAGGCAGATGATCAGGAAGAGAGACGGGTTACTTATGAACACATGCAGAAGTACTCCGGCTGCCTGGCTTGACTCAGCACCTTAGGTCAGCTTTATATGCAAAGGGACAGGAGAGAGAGGTCATCGGTGGGAAGGTGTGGAAGGTTCTATTGGGTTTTCATGCAGTTGCCTCCCTGGCTTCTAGCTGAATTCCAAGATACTCCTGGGAATGGAGGCCAGTAATAGCTGTAGTCCTGCAGTCCTTATCCAGCTACCAGCTCTGTATTTTACTCAACTGACAAGTTTTTACTTTAAAATAATCTTTATTGCTACTCTGAGAGTCTACCCATATCCCCCATGAAAGCAGAGACATGTGCCAGCCCAAGAACATTTTTATAAAGGAAATCCCACCAAAGCCCTCTGGGGTAAGTTCTGAGGTAGACAATGTTTTAGGAACATGCCTGAGAGCTTCAGGAAGGGTTGGTGACAGTTCTGGTGACAGAGAACTTGCTGGATAATGTAAGTCCACTACCGGGGTTATCAATAAGGTCCCTGCACAGACTGACATCACCCTGGGCCTTGCTCCAACAATGTGAGCCATCTGTCTGTGCCACAGTGAAGCCTGGTGTCTGTTATAGCCTTCAGATTCAAAGCCTGTGACTTGTCTTCTAAAAATTATTGTGCAATATTTCCAGTTAAGTAATACCAGGACTGCTTATTCTTTCCCCAACTTTGCCTTTCACTTATTACAAACAGGAAAACATGGACTGTTTGTAACTTCAAGTCACAATCTGATCCTATAACTGCAAGGAAACTTTATTGCTAGCTGAAATATTCGGAAGAAAATGTGAGTGCCAATTTCAATTGGCCACTTCTCATCATTCCTATTTCTTTATGGACAGTATGGATTCATGCTATTTCTCTACAAAGAAAACTACCTCTGTCTACTAAAGTCACTTTTACAACTCCAGGAATTATGACATTATAGCATGATGAATATGGTCAAGAGTTCCTACAAACACCTGTATCCCAAGCCTGTCCTTCAAACAATCCATTTGTAACACACATCGTAGAAGTAATTTTTCATAGAAGATTAAATAAAAAAAAACTAGGCAGAGTAAAATTTCTTACAATGGGCATTGTGGATTTGGAGCTCAATAGCCTACATGGATACTTGAGATAAAGAGCAAGAAAGGAAAATAAATCAACGAGAAGGGTCTGGAGGTTGTGCAAAGGTTTGACTCCACCCACTCAGACTTCGTATGTCAGTGGATCAACTGCTGGCTCCCTCAATATCATCAAATTAGCCCATCTCTACTGGTAGTTCTGGGTGGGGGAGGGTCTGCACACTGTGGATGTTCAGCAGAACTCCTGACTTCCACCCCTACCCCAGCCAAGACCATCAGAAACATCTCCAAATGTTGCCAAGCGTCCCCCAGGAGGCAGAATCAGTGCCTTACAGGCAATGGGGTACACTGATTTGGCCAAGTCTGAATGGAGCCTAAGAAGGGAGAGGGGAAAGCTGGGGATATTTTTTGAAGTTTTGAGGATTGGTGCTTTAAAGTGAATCTTCTAATGCAGAAGTGGAGGGGTGCACTTGCTGGGTGAAGATTTTAAGGGTAGAATTTATGCAGGACTGTTGGACGCAGTGAGGTAAAGATTTTGAGGTGTGGGGGCTGGAAGATATTCAAACTGATAGAAAATTTTCCTGTGATGCCTTCTGTTGAGGAATCAATGGATCTTTGTGGAAGTTTCTGGAATGACCATGAAACAACTATTACATTTCTGAGCAAGGGTTTTCTAGACAGTAAAGTTGTACTAAGGAAGGTGCCAGAAGAGTAAAGTCATACACCTATAAAGATATTAACATTTTAGATCTCAGTGGTTTCCTTGAATCTTTGATCTTATTTTTTTTTACCTCTGCCTTTTGGCATATTATTGCTATGGTTAGGGAACCCCTGTTCCAGGAGTCCAGCCAGGCTTTACCATACTATGAACTTGCGGCATGATTTATGCAAGCATATACTTCCTCCAAACTCCATTTTCTCCAACAGCATGTTGAAGTTGTTAACGTCTTCCTTTGCAGAACTTCTGGAGTTGTAATGAAACAATGCATGTCTTATCCCCTACAGCACACATGTTACATGAGTATAAAGAAACTGTTCAAAACTAAGAGAGCGTGTCACAGCAGTGGGATACCTGCACTTGGACTATCATACCTTTGGAATGTGCGACCCTCATTCTCCTGCAAGAAGACATTGGATTTTCTGGAAAAGGATGTTGGAGTCTTTTCTCTGTACCCTAGAATTATTATGGAGGGAGAGGTGCCTCAGTCCCATAAATTCTTCCTCTCCTGTTCCTTGAGCATGTTGTTGTTTTACCTCTGAACTGTGTGGGGTGATGTGGGCTGGGGCTTAGGAATGATACTGCTGTAATGGAAAAGGAATCCGAAGAGCACTGTGGCACCGCATGGACAGGGTTGAGACCTGCGAACCATCCATTAGAATATCCATTCCCATTTTTAGGCTGCCTTAAAAGACAATGCCCTGTCTTCATAGCCTGACCTTGAATCTATTACACAGTTGGATTCCGATTTCTCTTTCCTAAATCTCAAAACAGATCATTTCCCTACTGCATGCATTTTCCCAACCCTCACCATATGAGGCAGATGCTATGATGAGAAATCTGATACTCAAAAGTCGAAATTTTGCTGAGTAGACCCAACCTATTCATATATGGAGGCAAAAGTTAAATTTAATCTGTCTCCTGGGTTCCAAAGTCAGTGATTCCCCCCACCAACAGCATGTTGCTACTGACTACCCCTCAAAACAAGAAATAGGTAATCTTATGTGGTGTTTTGAATGAGAAATGTCCTCCAGAATCTCATGTATTTGACAATTTAGTCCCCGTTTAGTGGCGCTCTTGAAGGAAATTGTAGAACCTTTACGAGGTGGAGCCCTCCTGGAGGAAATATGTCACTGGGGGTAGGGTTAAAGACTTCATAGCCTGGGCCCACCTCTCTCTCTCTCTGCTTCTTGTTTGCTGTTGAAGATGGGATCTTTCAGATCCCAGCTCCTGCCACCTGCTGCCATTTCAGAAGCTCCCTTTGATCCAGAAGCCAAAATAAACTCTTTCTTCCGCAAGTCATTGTTGGGCACGGTGTTTTATCACAGGAACAGAAATGAACTCATGCATCTTGCAAAGGTGTTTCTCGATCCTGTCTGAAGGGTGAGACATCATCAGGCAACCATTCCGGAAACCACATAGCCAGTCCTGTTTGCCTAATCCTAACAAAATCAATGAACTAGACCCACCCACTGGCTGATAATGGACTGCTTTTGACGGGACTGGGAGAAAGAAAAACCCATACTATCCTTTCCACTAAAGCAGTTTTAGAGCTATGTAAATTCATTTGATAATGTTTAGATAACAAAGGTTATCAGAAAAATGGTAATGAGCCAGCCAAATTTTGCTGCAAACTACTGAAGAAGGGAGGGACTTTGTAATTAGACGTCTTTTAGAAAAGTGTCTCAAACCTTGGGCTTTCTGGGATGGACTGCTTATGGTGTTGTTGTTACAGTCTTCAGGAGAGTGATTCATAAATGGATAACTAGATGGAAATGGATTTGTGACCTCTGTATTTTGGTTTTCCTTTCTTTTCTTCTTAAAAATCGTAAGCCAGGTTTACTTAACTTAGCTCTGTGAGCCACTTGCTTTGTAACTCTGAGCAAGACCCCTGATCTCTCTGGGCCTCAATTTCCACCTCCTAAGAAGGAAGAGTTAGCCAGATAATCCTCAAGGTCTTTTCCTTCCCTTGATTCAAAATGATGCAGAGGTTAACAACTGACTAGTGCCCTCTACAGGGGACTTTCTCAGCAGTGTGGGAATCCAGGAAAGAGGCTAGCAAAATTTTCTTTGTATCTCTATTATTACTGTATCTGAAGTGTCTATAAATGTATGTTTTAGCCATATACAATATGCAGTTAATTAACGAAACATGATTGTGAATCAATTAAATTTTAGATTTCATCTAGACTTCATTCTAGAGATAAGGAATGTGGGGGCCACCTTGAATAAGAGCTTCACTGATTCCTTTGGGAAGAGGCTGCCAGAGCATGAACGGCAGCCTCTCGATCTTCAGTTGTGCCTGATAATGACCTTCCCTGGCTTTCTCAGTTGTCATCAAAAATACATCTCCCTCCCCTTCTCGGGCAGCTGGAACTCAGCGCTTTTGAAGTTTTCTGTGGACTTCCTACCCTTAAGAGTTGATGAACTGTGGACTTTTCCATTAGAGTGGGAAATGGCTCTTCCAGTGTTGCCTGTAATTATGTGAGCCCCTCCACTGTCAGGGTGGCTTCTCTGCGCGTGATCGGGAGCTCCTTTCCTGATATTGCCAGTAGAAAATGTGGGCACGCTCAGTAACTGATTGATTCCCTTTCGGTTCAAGCATTGCTGAAATATTTAATCCTTCACGCTGAGACCCACCCGGAAGTTGGGACATGCTATTCATTCCTGAGGTGGAGGTTGTAGAGGAAAATGTCCCAGAAGGCTTTCAGGGTAAATCTGAGTCTATGTAAGTCTACTTTAACATTTGAAAAATTAATTTCTGTTTTAAGTTTTATTACTACAAAAGTAATACATGCTTTGTGGAAAGTTATAAATTCAGATAAGAATTTTTTTAAAAATGATAGTCTCATGTTTTTACTCCTTATAGATTACTTCTTAACACCTATGTATGTGCATCCTTAAAGCTTTTTTGATGCATATATAAATATACATCTACATTTTTGTCAAAATGAGATCATGTTGTACATGCTGTTTGTAAACTGCTATTTTTACTTAATGATCTCTATCTTGCCAGGCCAATAGATTTTCATCTTATCTAAAACCCAGTCTATATTCAAATTTCTCCTGCCTGTCCCCACCATGTCCTTTACAGTTGGTTTGTCCAAACTAAACTCAAATGTAGGGCCCTGCATAGCTCTTAATTATCCTGACCTATAAAGCTCATTAATCTTGCATTTTTCATGAAACTTTTTCATGGAAAGAAAAAATCAGGAGAGATTGAAGTTTACTGTGTGCATTTATTATTTTTTTTAGATTTTATTCTTTACATAAATCATATTTAAAAAAACTGTCCAACTTTCTGCATTATCTTCACCTACAATTGCTACTGCCTTATTGGTATAACAGATGGTCAGCGTTTAAATGTAAAGCCTTTAGTCTCAAGTGAAATTTGTAAACCTGCTCGAAATCTTGGGAAACATCTCCATTTTTTGTCACACTTATCCAGACCCAAATACAAAGGAAAAGCAGTCAAAATTCGTATCAGATACATAGCAAGTGAGTGTGGTAAATAAAACAGGCCTGTCCTGGCCTCATGGAGCTTGAGATCTAGCAGAGAAGGTGGGCTCTAAGTTACTTGCTAACATGAAGTACCAAATGAAATGATGATCCAGGCTGATGCTGAGAAGACAGAGGATGAAGTTGTCCAGACACCAGGAGAGGCTTGGGGAGGCAGGTCTAGTCTGGCAAAAAGCCAGCCTTCTCTAGAGGAATGCTGTAGAGAGAGGAGGGCAAAGGTTGCTTTGGTGATCAGAAACAGAACTTGCCAAAGGGCTGGAGTTAGTCTGGGAGTGGTTCCTCACATGGCTGGGATAGAGAAAACATTGCCAAATAATGGAATGTGAGAAGCCAGAAATGAAGACTCGGGCCAGCTCATCCAGGGCCTCAGGCCATGTGAATACTTTTGGGCTTGATTACATGGGTGAGAAGGAGCAATGCAGGGCTGTAAGCAGTGAGAACACGTGATCTGATTGATATTTTTACTAAGGACATGCTGACTTCTGTGTAAAGAGCACAGTGAGGGGACAGTGTGGCAACCAGGAACCTGTGAGAAGGCCACTGTAGCTGTTCAGTTGAAATTGAATGACTTGGCCTTGATTGATAGGTAGAGTAGATTAAAGAATGACTTAGAGATATACTTAGCTTGTTAGGAAATGGAACCAGAAAGATGTGGGGACTGATGTGATGGAGAAGGAGAGGGGAGGTAAGAAAGAAGTACTAACAATGATATAGCTGTTTGGACTGTTTTCTGGTTTTGTTCAAGTAATTATAGCCCAATCCAAGCTGGCTTAGGATTCAGTGGAAATGTATTGTCTCAAGTACCCAGAAGTCCTTGGGTAGATCAGATGTTCAACCCAGATGGACCCAGGAATTCAGATCATATCTTTAAGAGAAGCTCTATTTCCTATTTGTGTGTGTTGGCTTCACCCTTTCTTTACAGCTCCTTCTTGTGGTGACAGGCTAGCTACTGGCCACTCTAAGTTTGCATCCTTTACAAGACACCCCTCTATCAGAAGAGAATGTCTCAATATTTTCAGGAAATGCCCTAGAATGGAGCCTCATTAGCTAGTCTTGAGTAACATGTTTATGCCTGGAGCTCAAGAATAGAGTCAATTCTACATAGAGTAAATACACATGAAGTAGAGAATCTCAGAACCTATTACCACTATAATTGTGAATGGATGATAGACAGGCAAGAATTACAGCACTTACTATGTATGACTCCCATAGGTTTTATAGGTATAACTGAATGGTGGCGAGGTCATTCCCATAAGGAAGAAAAGAGTGTTGAGGGAAAGATTACAAGGTCAGGTTTGCACCTGCTCTTTGTGGGGCCTGTTAGATTTTACCTGGGGGTGCTAAGTGAGCTGAGAAGTGCATGGCTCACTACAAAGTTCTTGGCTGTAGTTCAAGGTTTGGAAGCCACCCGTGTGCTTGGTATGGGTGAGATCATCTGAAGAGTATGTCACACAAGAAGAGGAAATTTAATAGCTGGCAGAGGAAAAGAAGAAATCTGCAGAGAAAAGAGCAAAAGAAGGGCCAGCCAGCAGGCTAGAAGGAAACCTAGTCCAACCCTGCTGTTGAAGTCAAGACTCTTTGTTGACAGTGAGTGTGAATGGCTAACTGCATGGCCAGCCTCTGAGAGAGCTGGTCACTCAAGAAAGTATGAGAGGTGCATCTTAGTGTCTGTTGGTGCCACTGGTCAGGAGAACAGGAGGTATCCTAGAGTTAGCAAGGAACAGCAAGGGGGGAGCAGTGAGGCCTGGCAGGAGACAGGGGAGTGAAGAAGAATTGAAATACTGACAAAAATTGGAAATTTGCTCTGAGGGTGCTCTACGGAAGAGTTTTAATTGAGTTAGGTTGTTTGGTAAATAAATGTGAAATTACAAAAGAAGCTGGAATTATCCAAGTTAAAAATAGAGGCGGATGGATGGAGAAATCTTGGGATGGAGAAGAATCCACTCCTTCACTACAGCTGGGAGGGGAGGGGATAAAGGCAAATGTGGAAAAGCATGCAGGTCTTATACAGGCCAGCAGTGGAAGTCATTTGCATATCATGGTTTCCATCGTGGCTGAAAAGCAGAAGGTGGTATCATCTCTTAATGTGAGCAAGGATCCCAGGATTGGAGAGGAGAGAGATTTGAAACAGGTACAGAAACTCAAGGTAGAAAAGAGTCTCTGAGCAGGGTGTGTGGCCAGGAAAGGCTGTGTTGGCTTCATCTGGCCTGTTCATGATTTCCTGCCACAGGACCAGCAAGGGGGCTGCCATAGCTAAGAAAATGGAAAGTTTATCTTCAAGAGGTGATGAAAAAAACATCGGAGTGAGGAGCTAATGGGAGAATAAACCCATTATAACATCACACATGGAATCCAAAAATTGAATGGAGAATATTGTTATGATTAGCTTGGTAAAGGGAGAATGGGTTCTGAGTTTCATAGCGAATGAAGGGAAGGTGAACTGTGAGATCTCTGCTGCTGACAGAGAGAGGGAAAGGAGGAAAGGTAAGGAGGTTGACAATAAAAAGCCCCCAAGCAGTGAGAAAGTGGTTGTAGAAAGGATAGAGGGATAAGCATAGTGGCACAGTCAGCTTATGAGGAAGAGGAAGCTTGGGCTACTGATCACCAACAGAGAGGCATTGGATGGTCTACTACAGATCACTGGTAGAGAGGCATTGGATGGTCTACTACAGATCACTGACAGAGAGGCATTGGATGGTCTATTAGAGATCACCAACAGAGAGGCATTTGATGGTCTACTATAGATCACCAACAGAGAGGCATTGGATGGTCTACTACAGATCACCAACAGAGAGGCATTGGATGGTCTACTACAGATCACCAACAGAGAGGCATTGGATGGTCTACTACAAATCAC